GAAACCATAATCTACAATGTTAAATTTTTTCTTCTGGATTCAGTTGTCATTATTCTTTATATTAGTGCATAACTGGACAGACCACATAATTATTAGCTAAACAATAAACAACAAATGATTATTTATAGATGTTGGTCATTAAACATTCCTTCATGAAATGAGTATAGTTATTTGCAAATTAGTTTTGATATATGTGGATGACTATTACTTATTAGTTGATTGGGACAAGATTTAGCAATAGTCTTCTTCCTATTTTTTCATGTTTGTGGAATGAAGCTCCTTCTCCTAAACAAATAGATGAAGCAAAGAGTTTTATTGTAGCAGTGTCACTCAATTCTTTGAAAGTTTTCAGTTATATGCCAAAAATCATATAGTGATCTATCATCAAATATTTGTAAGGACCTATGAGCTGACAGGTTTATTAGGTCTTCTTTCAATTTTGATGAAAGCTGAGAATTGGAAACCACCAGAGATGGAAAATGATTTGTTACTTGTCATTAAATGAGTCATTTGCTTTCCCAGTTTCTGGAAAAATGAATAAGAAGGATTTTATCAAGATTTCTAAAATTATTTATTGAACATTTGCTAATAAGATATTTTAACAAAAATTTCATCACAAGCATGCTTTACATATGTTTTGATCAAATACTGGAGCTTCATATTTTGCTTATTTCTTTAGAGGAAAAGCCTGCTATCTAACCAGATTACCTTTGGAGTTTTTTATTCCCTGGAGCAATGAATCTCACTAAGGTTCAGCAAGGTTATAGGAGGAGGTGCTGGTTTTTTGTTAAATAGTGGAAAAGGGAGAAGAGAAGCCGCATCTCCATCCAGCCCACTCTTGGGCAGAACAGTTTTGAAAAGAGGCCGTGTGGAAGTTGAGGAGCTAAGTCTTAATCCCCTTAAAACTCTGTGTTCCACACACCTGGAAAGCGCTCAGGCCCTGCTGTCTGGAGTTCTCTGACCTCGGGGATGAATAGAAAGAGAAGAGAGAAGATGTGAGGCAGGCACAGATTTAGAGATCAGGGACACGAGGAACCAGAACAGGGGATTGAGAAGGAGCTGGTGGGTTAGAAGATTCAACAGAGGAAGATGAGTTGATGGCCAAAGGAACGGCATACACGTGGGCGTGCGTTCCCAGTGGGGTCTCTGAGGGTTTGGAAAGCCCTTCTTTTGAAGAGTCCGAAGTGGCTTTGCTGAGATCTCTCAGGCAAATTTGGCAGAAAGAAGAGGGAGTGTCCCAGAGGGACCAGGGGTCACCTAGACTCCTCCTCCGTCATCGTGTCTAATTTCCATCACTTCCATGCTTTGAATAGCATCCACTTTTGTCCCTTTCTCCCTGAATGTATTTGCTACGATAGAGGCTATCATTTCAAACTGTCCGACGCTGGTTTTCCTGTCTCTGGTCTCGTTGTTCTCTCATCTCCCCCATGACCTGTTGTGGGATTTATCTTTCTACAGTGCTGCGGGCTTCAGAGACCCCTGGACTCCATTTCCGAAGCCCACAGCTGACAGAGAATTAGACAAAATCTTGGCTCTTCTGGCAAAGAAGGGAGTGGCGGCTGCCATCAAAGTGCTGAGGATCCCTGGAGGGTTTTAGGTGGCGGTGTGACATGATCCCCTTAGCACAGGTGAAAATAACCTGGGTCTTCGACGACACGAGCATATCGTGCGTCTCTTGTGGGCTTCCAGTTATGTGAGTGAATCCATTTTGTTTTGGTTAAACCTCCAAAATCAACTTTTTCTCTTACTTGCCACCAAAAGCATTTCTGAGTGACTCAAAACTGAATATTGAATAAATTCCAAATGACTCAGCATGGCATAAAGTGTTTTAATCATCTATCCTGTTTGACCTCTCCGGCCCCATCTCACACCGCCTCCCCCTCTGGCACACCACACCCTTGCCCTGCAGATTCTCTCTTCCTTCACCTTGTCTCTCCGATGAGCAGCTTTGTCCTCCTTGCCCAGCTGGCAAAGTCTTTCTGATTCTTCAAGATTATCCTCAAACACTTCCTTCTCTCCAACACCTGTTTCCTGACCTCTCCAGGTGGAAGAGACCGTCTCTTCCCGTGTCCCCCATGTCCCCTTCTCTTCCCACTGTCCTCGCTCGCCTCGCGGGCTGCTTCAGTTTTAAGCCCAACCTCATGCCCGGCATGTCAAGTTCTTTGTGACCTCCCTCCCTTCCCAACCCCTTCCTCCAGTAGACTCTGAGCTCCCTGAGAGCAAAGGCCAGTTCTCATTCAGCTCTGTTTCTCCCAGGGGCCGCGACAGGGCCGGCACATCGTGGCCACTCGATAAATCCTCGTCGAAGAGGATTTATGCGGAGAACTTGGCTGAAAGAAGTTCTGAGAGAAGCAGGAACAGTGGCCAGACGAGTCTGCGGGCATGCAGCCTGGAGCGCTGGCGTGTGGCGTGAGGGCGTGTGTACTTGCACACGTGTTGGCCGGCGTCTGGGTTTCTCTGCTGAGGGAATTCATGAAAGGATACCTGTGTGAACGGTACAGGTGTTAAGCAGCGGTGGGTGTGGGCTTGTGTGAGTGGAGTCTTCTGTGCAGGGGATGTATGAAAGGGAGTGTGTGTGACTGGGGGAGCCTGCGATGTTTGGAGTGAAATTCTGAGGGCCGAGTCACAAGTGTGAAAGGAACATGTGTAAATTTTTCAGATTCCTCAAAATTTTGGTCAGCCTAGGATTTTTTTTCCCTAAAGCTGTCTTTGCCATCGATTAAGTCTTCGTTTCTAACCCTCTAATTATTTTTATTCCCACTCCCCCTGCCCAGGTTTGCCACATCCCTTTCAAGTAATGTGAATTTAATGAGGCAAATATCTTCATAATAAGCAGATCGTCACCTATTATATACGTAACCCTGGTGTTTGGATTATGAGGAGTGAATGGGAACAATCTGACCACAGGATGAGGGGAGAAGTGTGAGTGGTTTTGCTTTTGTGGTTTTCGTTTTGAAGGAAGTTGCCTGGTCCCAGCAGAGCAGTGAGTGTCCAACGCGAAATTACCAGCATGGGGAACCGAAGCTGGTCTGGGGCGCCCCCTTCTCGTCCTTGCAAGGTCCTACAACATCCTTGGCATAGTCGTTACTGATCTTGGAGGGTTTTCTTTGTTTTTATTGGTAACACGGACTTCACGGATGAGATCTTTGCCAAGTGGAGTCTGAATAGGCTTCTCAACAAAGGAAAATAACATACCCAATGCTCTAATTTCATCTTCGAGGTCACCCCATGAAGCCCCATCTTATAGATGAAGAAACTGGGGTCTAGAGATGTGAAGTGACTTGCACGGTGAGCAAATAAATGATAGAGCTGGGGTTTCACCTCCGGCCTGTCCGAGGGGGATTCTTCCGGGAGCCCCTGTGGCAAGCTGGGGACTGTTTTATTTTTGTTTGTTTCTTTGGCTCTGTCATTGTTCTGAGAAATGCCAGGAAAGGCAGGTGTAAGACCAGGAGAAGGTCATCCAATGCATTTGGTGAGAAGGCTGTTTCCTCAGGCGAGCCACGTGTCCAGTGCCCAGGTCCCCAGGGCCGAGTCACAAAGCCCCTGGAGTGAGTATTGAACTGGGTGCGGGAAGGACTGACCTAACTCTCTGCTTGGGACTAGCTCGAGCAGCCCTGCGATTAATGTAGGGGTTCCATCTGGGCGCCCCTTCCTAGTCCTTCCAAGTAAGAGAAGCCTTTTCCATCAGACCGTCAAAGTTGAGTGTGTACTTCTTCCTAGCATCTTATGAAATTTGAAGGTGTTTTCTTTTTCCAAGATGAAATTTTTTTGTTTTATTTCTTTTAATTTTGGTAAAATACACATAACATAAAAGTTACCATCTCATCCATTTTTTTCAGTCTCCAATTCAGAGGCATTAAGGACATTCACATTGTTGCACAACCGTCATCTTCCCAAACTGAAACTCTGCACCCATTAAACTATTCACACTGTTGCACAGCCGTCACCACCATCCACCTCCCGAATGTGTTCATCTTCCCAAACTGAAACTCTGCACCCATTAAACACGAGCTCCCTGTTCCCCGCTCCCTCTGGCCCCTAGAAACCTCCTTCCTCTGTCTCTATGAATTTGACTACTCTGGACCCCTCACAGAGGTGGGATCATACAATATTTGTCCTTTTAGGACAGGACTATTTTACTTAGCATAATGTCCTCACAGTTCATCCCATGCCGTAGTGAGTCAGAATTTTCTTCCTTTTGAAGGCTGAATAATGTCCCATTGTATGTATAGACCACAGTTTGTTTGTCCCTTCCTCCCTTAGTGAAACTGGCATTCCTTGTATACATTTTATTTTCAGTTATTCCATAATCCATTTTCCTTAGACCCTATCAGCGACCCTCTCATCCGCCCCAGTTTCCAGCTGGAACTGAGCTTAAACTGGAGAAACCGACAAAAATGCAGTGAAGCTAGATTTAGGAAAACTTGCGCTTACCAGAATGACAAGCAAAGGGACTCTATTTCTTTCTTATGGAATTAAAAAAAAAAAAAAAAAGACTATGTCTCCTTGCTGGGATAAACACGATGCTGTTAAAATAAACTCCCCTAGTTCTTGCTCATTCGGAATCCAAAGCAAAGTATCTAAAAATTTCCCTTTATCTAGAAAGAGCTTAGATTTCATTCACAAACGCTGAGGGTTTTCAGCTGCCCTACCCAGTAAGAAATCGCAGACGTGTTACCCTCGTCTTTAGGAAGACTTGGGCAGACTTCGTTTTCAGAAGGAGGGTGATTGGGTTGGAGAAGTCGTGGAAGGGATCCCGTGTCAGAGCAGGAGTAGCCACTCTTAATTTTACTCCATGATGCCCTTCTTCTGCCCTTCAGTCCATCTGCCTGTATTATACGTTGTTCTAGATTTGCAAAGAAATCGCTCACGCCATGAAATGAGTTGGTGGCAGGTTTTCCAGGACAGGCGGGCAAAACTCGCCGCACCCTGACTTTCCAAAGAATTCATTTCTGCTTGGGGAAAGAGCTACCTGAAAGAAACGGATTTAACACATTGAATCATACAGCAATCACCTTTATTTCGTTGTAACCCTAGATCGCTTTCCTTCGCACAGTAACATTTCGTTTTCATTGTCTTACTATTCATTCAAGAAGGCGACACCGCTGCCCCACGTGCCACTAGTACCTGATCCGTGCATTCTGATTTTGTTCACAAGTGACAGAAAAGATTATGTCATCTCATTAAGAAAATACTTTCCTCAAGAATGAAAATACTTTCATTCTTGTTTTCTTTAAAACCAAAAGAGTTTTAGCAAAGGGCTGCTTCACAGGTTGATCCGTTCTCCTTTCACCAATCGTGCTCGAAATCGCCAGACGTCCTGGAAATAATGCCAAATAGAAATGAGTGTGTGGGACGCTTCGATGTGTCTCTTTACCCTAATGTAAAGTAAATGTCTAGCATCTAACTGTTTCAAATGGTTTTTAAAAAAAACCTCCACGATGGATTTTTTTTCTTCGTTCATCAGTTAGGACATAAACCATATTCTGAGACTCCTATTAATTTACTCGCCAACATCTTATATCATGTTAAGGAATGATATCGATCAGGGCGGGGTCGTCCCCAGACTGTCAGCCCTGTTTTAGTTGGCCCTCTCGATGTGACAGATGTCACAACTCGCTGAGTGGGCTGGGTGCTCTGCCTGACCCACTTTGAGGGATTTGCTCCTGATGAGATCACAATCATGAAAATGGTGTCATGAGCTATTGGGTTTTTTTTCTTTGTTCTTAATGAGACGATTTAGACTTTCTAATTTCTTGTTTCTCATTTATTTTTGAGCAACCAGCAAGGTATGGTAGGAAGAATGATTTTGGAATTCGACCTGACCCTGAAGTCTTGCTGTGTCAGTCACGTAATTTAGGCCAACCTCTTGGACTCTTCATTTTCTCACTGAGAACATGGAGCTATGAAGACTGTCCAAGGGGTTTTGGTGAAGACGATAAGAAAATGGACATGAAAGTGCTTTTGTACCTTATGAAGAACGACAGAGCAGAATCCGTACTATTGTTCTAAGTAAAGCTTATAAGCCGTAACATAGAGAGCAACTAAAATTAATTTCATACAACATTGACGAACCTCAAACGTAGTGTAGACATTTCTTTTTCATGCCTTAAAATTCAGGCTGTCAGATGGAAGCCCCAGGTAACAAACTATGTGGCCTTTGTAGGTCATTTTAAGTACCGGACAAAGGGAGAAGGACTAGATTTTCTAGGATGTGCAAATGTGAAATCAGAGCATTTTCAGATGTGGGGCGCATTCCCAGGTTCTAAAGGGAGAGGGGGCGAAGGGCGAAGTAAGATTCTTGATCTGGGAAGGTGTTCAGGGGATGACTGCCAATAGACTGGTAGCCGCCCACCATTGCTGTGCGGTGCTCTTCAAAGTACGGGCATGCATTTAGGATTACGTAATGCAAATTAACAAGTAAGCTCAGCTTCTTGCTTCAGAGGCGAAAATGTATGTAATCTACGAAGCAAATATATTTATTTCTTTGCCTTGACTGATAATTTTCCTGTTGATCCTCAGCAGCATCGAATGTCCACTAGTTAAAAACAAATAATGACAAGTGATGTGTACGAGTTAGGGAAGGAGATGAAGTATTGTCCCGTGCCCCTTAATTGATAAGCATTAGTGTCCTTTAATCTGTGCTACATACAAGCAGTGCCTCTCATTAAACTCCCATTGCAAAGCGATAAACAAAAACAAAAACTTGCTTGAGAATTCCTTTCTGGGAGTCTTACTGGATTTCCAAAGGCATAAATACTCTATCCTATACAGGTAAAGGAGGCCTGTGATCGATAGTGCAAACCTTTAGCTTTCCTCTAAGTCTGTCTTCTATTTTCTTTCCTACCTGTTTGTCCTAGAACAAGGTAGCCTGCATACCCCAGGACAGCCCACACGCATCAAGAAGCAGCACCCACTCTCAGGTCACCCACACTGAGGAAGCAAGTCCAAACCGAAGCTCCACTGTTATTCTTAGTGGATCTCAGCCACATCTCTGCAGTGAGCTCCCAACCCAAGCATGTTATACTTGCAAATTAAATCAAGTATGAGAATTACTAAGCACCTGAAATTAAAAACGAGATCTTTACCGTGTCATTTCATACACATACCTTCATGGTCCAACCTTTCGTTTCTTGAAATTTCTTCATTATCGTTATCACTTCCTTCTCAATTTTTTCTTGACTGGTGCCCTTCACGTCGATGTAGTGACAGTTGGCATCGGCAAAATGGCAGGAAATTGCCTGGGCAAAGGGAGTCGATTAATATTAGGAAAAAAGTCCCGTTCACATCAGCAACCAAGCAAGAAGTCTTCTTTTAGAAAGTCAGTTATTTCAACATTTGAGTTCTAGATTGAAAGCTATTCCGCTGTGTCTTAAATCAGTCCGTCTCAGTGGCTCAGTCTCTCTCCCCGTCTCCCTCTCCCTTCACACCCCACCTTCTCCCTTTTCCCCAGCTAAAGGCTTCTTGAGAAATTACAAGAAGTTTTCGACTAGCTGTGATAATTTACTTTCAAAAGGCATCTATGAGGCAGAGGATGTAATTACATAAGTAGGAGGTCTCTAACTTTTTAGCATTTGATTTTTCTAAGGAGCAGATATACCCAGGTGCTAAAAAAGAATGTATTCCAGGGTTTTTCATCATCATCTTAGTCACAGAAGTTACTTTTTCAATCAAGTTTGTGATGGTTTGTTATTTCAATGGCCATAGATTATGGGGGCGGGGGAGGGGGAACCTTGCAAAGAAAAATAATACACACACACACACCCCTCTCATATCAAAAGGACATTTAAAGTCTGACAGCATTCACATGAGATACTCATCTTGTTTCCTTCCTTACTTGGCTCTCCCCATTTTTGAAAAAGTTACACAGGTGCTGCAAAGCGATAGTGAAAACTCACCTTCCTAGTCACAGGTTAGTTATCTTAAGGTGACCACACCCATCAGAAGGACTCCCTTCTGACAGCCATATTGGACAATGAGGCAAAAGGGGAAGCGTGCTCTCCTTTACACATGTTTTCATGTATTGTTTAAGGGTTAATGTTTTCCCAAAATTAAAGTAGTTGAAAAAATATTGAAAAATTGCCAGTCAGTATATTAAAATTCATGTTATTTGTATCGTGGTGCCTGTACCTCCGTTTGCATAGTTCTGAGGGTTGTGGGCTAGTGGAGAGTCTGATCTTGTCTTTATTTAAAATTTTAGCATTGTGCTCATTATGGGTTTTTTTTTTTTGGTAGTAATTTTGATTTTAAAAAATATTATTGTAAAAAAATATTATTAAACTTGATTGTTTAGTTCTTTTAGTTGCCCCCCTCCCACCCCTTAAATATTGCCCCTGAGGAGAGCACCTTCTCATCTCACCCTCATTCCTGGACCTGTTGAGCCTGGAAGTACAAATGAATGAAAGACGAAATCTGGCAACTAACCCTTGGCCTCAGGGAGACAAGAAGGGACAGTCCCAAAGGAGCACCCAATATTTAGTGCCGACAGTCATGTTATCATAGGAAAAGTAGGAGCCCACAGTACTGTCAGATGTGCCGAATTTCAGAGCAATGAGAAATCTGGGAATTTATGAGAAATTTGTCACTTTTAATAATAAGCAATGAAATCATAAGTTTAAAATTCTCTAAGACTAGGGGGTGAAAAAGATGGCTGCCTGCTAAATCTGATTTCTGGGCCACCAATTCAGAATCTTTCTTTCAGATCAATATCTTTCCCAGTAGCAATGAAACTTTCCTCTTATGTGGTTACCGTGCGATATATACATTCTACATTTTATTATTTTATCATGCCAGCAATGGTTTTTGCCTCCAAAGCAAGGGCTGTTAGCTACCGAGTAAGCTCTTGCTTTGAAGAAATTCCGTGACATAATCAGTACCAACAAGGCTGGGATCCTGAGGTCACCTGGCTTCTACGGATAGGAGTGAAAAAGCATGAGGTAAGCAAATACACTTCCTGGTCAATGAACTGGACTAAATGCCAGTTTAGTTAAAAGTCACAAATCTTACATTTCAATATGTCTTGACACTTTTGTTTCTAACTATTCATCTTTGGAAAGTGCAGTGATGTTAATGCATACCTTCCGGAATCCTTGAGTTTGGTTCCGACCCGATCCGTGGATGAGCAAAGGATGAAAGAAAACGGTGTCTCCCTTCTCCATCACGAGGTGTATTCGTTCGCTGTTTTCGTCATAGTCCTGGATCCCGTGGTACAGCATGTTAACTCCTTTCTAGAACACATAAGAGAAGCCAAGTCTGTATCTGAGGAAGCCAGTAATTACAAACTTTATCAATGGCTCATCAAGATAAACAAGGGTTCTCTAAACTCTTCCAAAAGAAAAAGATAAATTAGATTCTTAAAAAATAAATACATAAATATGCAAAAGCTTCTCAGATGTCCAGTTTTAGAAAATCACGTTTTGATATTAAAATCATGGGGCCTTTGCACCACATGCAAAATTTGGAATTTCCATCTATCTTTCCTTACTGAATTATAACTGAAGATCTAGATCAGCTTTGCATTTTGCAGTTAATGCAAGAGACCATCTTTCCAGCCTGAATCCATAAACATTCTTTCCCTCACCTGGCACTTGGCATAAATCATTCTTCTATTCCTCAGAAGCTATTCTCCCAAACTAGGAGAGAGAATACACTACATTTTTCTTAGCTCAGAAACTACTCATATCATATCTAAAGTAAAGAAAGAACAGTAAATTAAAACATTGTATTTGTTTATAATTATTTCCAAAGTTAGTTATAGCTTTAGATAATGGTTATATCTTTATTAAAAAGTACAGTAAGGAGTGATTTAAAGCTTACGAGCTTTTATGGCGAGGGGGGTGGTGGTGGTTTTAGGGTGGAGGCAGGGCAGCATCCCATTCCCCTCTCAGACGGTCCCAGATTCCTTTTGCTGGACTATGTTGGGACTTTGATCGAGTGTACTGCTTTCCACGCCAGGGAGGAAATGGGACCCAAGCTAAGTCTATCTGACCACCCACTGCGGCCACTCTGAATCTGAGCAGAGGATGGAAGAGATCAGACAGTCGGTGTTAACTGCCCGTGCCAGGTGCCCGCCCCCCGACCCCCCTACTCTTTCCACAGAGTGATGACGCCCACTTCTGCCCACCAGGGCTAGCCAAACTTCCACGAAGTAAGCATGATGCAAACCCTCCCTTTTGCTCGCAATAAACCTTCCCTCAACCTCATCTTAATGGACAAATCTCACAATTTCAGATTTTATATCAGAATCTAGACTCAAATTTTTTCTCTTAGCATTGATCATTAGTGCAGGAATTCTAACGGAGACAGACGTCCTTAAAGCTTTACTCTTTACATCCTACAGAACCACATTCATCCTTCCTGTGTTAGTACCTGGTGCTTTTCCTATTCTGACCATCGTTATGGGGTTTCAAGACTTTATTGTTTTATACCTAAAACACTAAGTCTCCTCTCCAGTTTCTCTGCCTCTGGACTCCTACACCTCCATTATTTCCTGTGCCACACCCCAAGATTATCATTCTTGAACCAGTTTGACCTTATCACCGTAGCTCAAAAGCATTTAATAGTCCTCCAGCATCAACAGCCACACAATGGAATACTGTTCGGTCTTCCTCAGAGCCCCTGCTGGTCTCTCCAGCTGGAAGGAGACGATTCCTCCCTCTTCTTTGGCCCCAGAGCCATAAATCAGTGTGTAAGACTTCCTGGGCGCCTGGCATGCACATCTGGTCTTGCAGTGTTTATGTCTCATGCCTGTAGTTAGGCTTTATGATCTCCAATCCAAAGTTCCCCACATTGGTTAGCTTACAATCCCTTGTTGAAAATGCAAAAATGATTTTATCTGACATCCTTGAATTTTCCCTGATCCTAGTTCCAAATCCGAGAACAACAATTTGCTATGAAAGCAAGTGCCATCTCATCGGTAAAGCTCGTTATTTATACTGGTGTGAAATCAAGATTCTGATTGAGACTCAGCTCTTAGGCAGACGTACCTCCCACTGGGGATAGTCGTGCAGCTTCAGGGTGCCTTTGTGTGTGCCTGGGAGCACCACCAGACAGCCATTGTTCCGATCGACGTGCTCCATGGCCGTCCAAGCACAAACAATGTCATTGCTGGGCCTGAACGGGAAATAGTGCAAATCCTGGTGCAGAGGATGACGGGATGTCTTCTTGCCTGAAATGGAACCTGCTTTTAAAGGACGCTCAAGTCTCAGAATTCTCCTCCTCTGCCTGAAAAATTAGAATAGTGACCTATTCCTACTAAAACCAAACTAAACAAATGAAACAACACTCTAGAAAATCAGCCTCGGATTGAAGTATCAGATCAACATGGTGACTCCAGATCCTATACTTTCTTCTGGGTTTCTGGTGGCCGAGTACTTATATGCACTATTTTCCAGCAAGTCATAAATATGTCATTATCTCTATTGTGCTTTATTCTTTTCTAACTCTCGTTTGGGCACAGAGCCTAGTGTTCCAAAAACACGTTTGATTAATTACACTAAAGACAGTAGTCAAATTTGAGGTCCCCTCGTAATCTTCTGAGTGGCTATTGCAAAAAAAAATATTAATTAACTGCTTAAATAGATAAAAGGCCTCTAAGAGGTTTTCCCACAAAACTAGAAACATTCGGCGTACAGTCACTGTGTGAAATCAGAGATACGACGACCACATTTACATTTTTCCCTGGTTTCGCTCCCTGAATTTGATTCCCCAGGCCACCCGACCTCTCCAGGCAAGACACGCAGGCAGAGAAGGACTTGGCATTGTTAATCTGCTGGCCGGGCACATAAACCTCTCCCGGCCATTGGGAGGAAGAAAAGGTGAAAATGCCTCTGCTGGCCGATTTACTATGGCTGGTGTGGCAGACTGTTAGTGTGGCCCGACAGCCATCTGCATTACAATCTCTGAGGATGGCTAATAAAATGCAGATTCCTGGGTTCTACCTTCCGAATCAGTTTCTCCAGGGGTGAGGTTTTAGGAGCTTATATTTCAGCAAGCACAAGAAATTTTAAGAACAATTGTAGCATGTGACTTACAAAATTAGTTCAAATCTTGTTAGTAATAATAATGTCTTCAGATCGGGAAGGCAGAATTCACACTACCACAGGTGAGGATGGTTAGCAAAGCTTAGAGACGCTGAATAACAGAAGCCTATGTTATATAAACTCCTGTATTTTTAAAATTGCATTTTTTAAAAAACCAGTCATCTGAAAATCCAGCAATAACCCTACAGTTAACACCTGAAATCACTATTTTACTTCAATGCTGTTATGACGTAAGCTATTTTGACTTAAAGTACTATTTTAAAATTCAACTGAGTAAATGCAAGGATCTCATCGGCTTTATTCAGTGATTTGTGAGTCGCAGCATCTCATCTAACAAATTGAACGAGTCCTGAAGAGCTAACCAAAATGGAAGGCTTTTGTAGGCAGATGGCAGAAGGACGAGCAAGTTAGCAAAGAGGACCGTTTCAGGCATGGCCACCCTCCTTTAAGGCAAGGAAGGCGGTCTGTCAGGCAGATCACCTCGTGAGTGCTGACCAGGCACTTCCAGACTGATTGGCTAAGACTTTATTCCTGGGAGAAACTGAAACTATAATTAGGTATTGAGCCTCAGTCCCGTGACATGGGCTTAGCACGAGTGACTCCATTTGGGGCCTGTTATCTTTTTTAACAGTACACATTCATTTATGCACAGTTTAGCAGTTATACACTATAAATGCTCTTGTTAGAACAGAAATCTTATGAATGTTAACTAAACTTTTTTTTCCTTCTCCTTAACAAATAAGAGCCATTTACCGGTATCTGGAGGTTTGTTTATCAGCATTGTATGCATGGCCATAATGTTGGGTCCAGTGAAGCACTCTACATATTTCAGAATCTAAGGGAAAAGGGGAAAAAAAAAATCTTGGAAAATCAGATGCACAGACAAGTGGTACACGCAATGACTATCCTTACGAGAATCAAGATGGCGATAGTTTAAAAAAAAAACAATTCGTGTTTCACAACATCGCAAACAAAGCACAAAAGTCGGCAACCAGAAATCATTGGCAATCCAGACTCTATGAAGTAAACAGGTTTTTGGAGCCAGCTGGAAACCTAACGACTTGTTTTACAAGAGAGGGAGATGTCTCTGTGAGAAGTTAACTGGGAAGAACAGGAATGACCTTTGATCAATAGGAGCTGTGGATCATTGCCCAGCGAGAACCCGGCTCTCTCTTTCTCCACCGAGACTGTTCATGAGAAGGCACCATAAAAGGGCCCGACCCCTTTGCAGCTGTCATGAGTAGCTCAGAGGAAGGGAGAACTTCACAATCTGTGGCCATTCACTCAACAACTCTTTACTGAGTTCTATGAACCAGGCAGAGCGACAGGAAATGGGAACACACCAGCGGACGAGATAAGCGGGTCCCTGCCCTGACGGAGTCTGTAGTCTGGTAGCAAGAACTATGTTAAATAGTGACATGGGTATGTGGTTGAGACACAGGCTATGAAGAAGAAGCCGCAATGAGAGCATGTGACAGGGAGGGCTGAATTGGTCATGGGCTCTGGCAGCCCAGGTGCTGCCTCCAGCATCCGATCCTCCTGGGAGGAGTGAAAAGCAGACAGGACTTGACACCAAATGCCTGCTACCTGCCAGAGACTTTACACATCGGCCATATAGTGACCCCTGAAAATTAATACCCCCATTAATTGAATGTCCCACATGAATAAGCCTGAGGTTAATAAGTTGCTCAAGTTGGCAGAGCCAGTTAAATGAAAAAGCTGATATTCAAACTCTAATTCTATTTGATAAGGAATATCGGCAATTTGCATTTGTGTATTTTTTATAAAGCCTGTCATTTTTTTTAGTGTTCACTTAGACCAGTATTTTGTAGACCTCAGTCATTCAAGAGCCATCCTCACCATTTCTGCCATAACTCGCATTATTACCCAATATTGTTAGCTAATAATTTCTTTAACTCATTTCTTTCACATAGTCTTATCTTGGATTAATAATATTCTTAAAATCATGGGTTACATGTGCTGGTTATTTTTTCTAATACATGTTAAAATAGGTACCTAACTATTAAAATAATGAATACCTCCTAAAGATCATGACATGAACCACCAGATACTTGGTTCATAATTTAGCGATACAGATAATCTGAAAATCTTGATAATGCTTCATTTAACACAAGTTGTCTAATCTCGAGCTTTTCATCCTTGGCATCCAGAAAACATCCATGTCCATAACGAGAATTGAGGTCGGGATGAATGGGTGGCTCGGTGGCGCCACTTTCCCTCTGGTCCCCAGCAAGGGGCCGAACATCATAGCTGGCTACGTGCACAGTCTTTCTTCAGGAGTCAAATTCCCTAACAGCAATGAAGGTTATAATTTACAGTAAGTACTGTATGCGATGTCTCCTTTAAAACCATTCTAACAAATGGTTCATGAACTGTGGCACATTATGCAATGGAACACTCGCAGCAGGTTTAAAAGTATGAAGGAGATTTATAGATACTATGGAAACATGTCTAAGATCTCTACGTGGAAAAAAACATGGTGCCAACTAGTATTTTCTCAGGGTACGACGTGGGGGTATACAAATATGCCTGCATAGACACAAAATAATTCTAGAGGAAGACACGAAAAAGCTAAGCAGTGAGTGGGGCTGGGGGCGGGACACTTTGCTCCTCATTTTTTGCTCCTCTGGACTGCTTGGATAATTTCATAAATATCATTTACTCTTAAAGAATAATAATTTTAAAAGAAACTAGTTTAAGAACAAACAGCTCCACTGACCAGATTCATAAAACAAAAAGAAAAAAAATCAATGGATTTACAGTGACTAGCCTCAGTAATTTCGCCCTGCCGATACAAGTATCAAGTGTGAGACAGTCTCTCTCTCTTTGACACAGAATTCCTGCCCTTCTCAACCAAAGATAACTAGCAAACTGTAGAGTGGGGGTTCTTTGAGATGGGCACCACTGACATTTGGCAGGGGGGGTAATTATTTGAGGGAGGCGGCTATTCTGTGCATTACAGGATCCCTGGGCCCCCCTAGCAGCATCCTGGCCTCTACCCATCAGGAGCCAACAGCATACCATCCCTCCTTGTTTGTCCATGTGTGACAGCCAAGCATGTCTCCTGCAAATGCCACCTCCCATTGAGAACCACTGTTCTAGGGCCACAGCAGAAAGGTGCCAGGTAAAGTAAAAAGCAGATTGCAGAGGCAAGCATGCAGATGGGCTATTAGCTTAAAGAGAAGGAAAACGCAGGCCTCGAACCTCAGGGAGAGTGCAGTATCTGAAGAGTTCTTCATCTTCCTGGAAATCCTGGATCTTGGTAACCACTTTTTCATTTAGAGTATATTCTGATTTTGCAATGGTCACATCTCTCATTATTCTTAATCCAGTGGGTTTCACCTCATTTCTGCAGATTCTTTCAAACTCGTTCCTAAGAAATTAAATTGGCAAATGATGTCATTACCACTGGCTCCAAGCACCTACCTGGCCCTGTTCTGGCAAAGATTTGCAGATTTGGGGGTGATCGCGACACTAAGTTGGCCTCCAGCCCTGATTTGAATAGTTCTGAATGGAAGGAAGAGAAAGTGGTCAACTCAGAAGTCCTTGCCTCCTAACCATGAAGCTAGAATTCACTCCCAGAGTTCAGATAGTCCTTAGGGAAATAGATGTGATTGGGTCACATCTGAAGAATAACAGCAGATACTTCCGTCGCACTTACCACGATGGGCCGGGCCCCGTTCCAAGTCCATTCTGTCTTTTTACTCTAGTCCTACCAGCAACTCAAGGACATAAGTGCTATTATTAGCCCCGGTTTACAGACATGGAGACAGAAGCCTGAAAAGATGAAGTAAATTTCCGCAGGACACACAGCATTGAGGGGTGGGGCTGCGAAGAATCCGGCCAGTCCGGCTCCAGAGCCTGCGGTCCCCACCGCAACCTAAGAAGCCAAGTCACGGAGCAACGTCTGATCTCACTATATTCCCATCACATGCGTATAACGCATATTTCTGTGAAATAACGAACAGTGTTACTGTACCGAAAGCGTGTGATGTCCGCATCAGATACCAAATTTTTAATGATAAGAAACCCATTTTCTTCATAAAATTTTCTCTGTTCTAGGCTTAGAACATTGTTATCCCGAGTATACCTAAAGGAGAAAAATCACAAATAAGTCCAATTTAAAAATTAAACCTAACAGTATGTATCAAGAACCCAAGAAAAGTTCATACCCTTCTACCCAGCATTTCTATTTTGAAGACTTTAAAGAAATAACCTGAAAAAATTTTCAAGGCTTTAACTCCGAAGCATTAACCACTGTCACCAAGAAATGGAAGACTAATTAATTAATTATATCTTCTCTACTCAATGGGACATGACTCAGGGATTAAAAATGAAGAGCATATAATAGCATGGAAAATGCTTATAATAAAATATGATTATAACTTATAAAACTAAGACATCATTTGTAAAAAAAAAGACTGCAAAGAAATACAACAAAGAAATTTTTAAGTGAAGAAAAAATGTTTAATAAAAAAATGTTAAAAATTAACATTTAGTAATGGAATTATGGATGATTTTTTAAAATTCCTTCTATTGCTCCAATTTTAAAATGTTCTGTAATGAATATGTATGGTTTTTCAGATGGGGAACAAACTCAATAGATTTTATACTTTTAATTGTCTAATTCGTGAATTCTCCAAAGAAATCAAAATAACAAAATCTAAATAAGTGTACAGCATACACACAAACTCAAATCCCCCATTTCATTTCCCTAGTTGGGACCGTGGCTATATGAGAGTATTCCATGCAGGTCAAATGTCTTCTCTTTCTCAGATAATTTAAGATGAACCAAAGACACTGGCTGACATATCAGTATGACTACACAACAGATGAATTTATATGAGACATACCTTGCCTGAATTTTAAAAACTAAATTGTGCTCTTTCTGATACTTTCCCTCCTTTCTGAATTTGAAAATACAAATAGAAAATTACAGTCAGGATCTTCAAAATTTTTCCATAGTTGTTCTAATTAGAACAAGTCCTTGAAGTGGAGGCTTTGCATAATGAATTCTTACTGGGCAACATGATATATTGTGTTTTATATCCTAGTTACCATTAGAAAAGCTTGTATATACACTGTATGGTTAAAAATTAAATTAGATATACTTACTGGAATTGTTTTGGGTGGAAAGTGGCAGGAGATATAGCCCCTGAAGTGGGGTGACCAATCTAGGATGTGAATTAAGGCCAAAAAAGTAACATGAAGGAGTCAAACTTTTCGAGAAACAACAGTCTGAATTAGCTCTCACAAGGGGGGACTGGTCTTAAATAGACACCATGCAAAATGGTTACACACACACACACACACACACACACACACACGACCTGACAGTTCACCTACTGCTGCTTACATCACTTCATTTGCACAGACGCCCAAGGAAGTGACTGGGAGCTCAAGAGCTTTGTACTGCCCCTCAGTGCAAGCAATCTAGCCTTAGGGGGCTGTTACTGGTCCAAGGTCACCCAGCAGAAAATGGCTAAATCGAGACTTGACCCACTTTCTTTGTAGCTTTTATCTATTTTATTTCATATGACTATTCCTTCTACTAAACCGCTGAAAGAATGAAAATTGAGGTTCAATCCCTAGAAGTAAGGAGAAACATGTGCTATTCAAAAGAGGTATTTAATTTAGTAGGAGTCCAGTCCAAAATAGTAGAGACGGTTTGGCTGGTCATTTTTTAAGAAGTATAAGATAAACAAACAATGACTCCAAGAAAAGTATAATCGATTCAGACGAAGACAATTTTAAATAAAGAACTATTTCGTTTTCTTTTTTCTCCAGTAACCACAATGGACTTTGTTTCTTTTTCTTTTTTCTCCAGTAACCACAATGGACTTTGTTTCTTTTCGTCCTTCTCTTTTTTCATTGTATCTTTAAAGAGTTACTTTCAAAACGCCACTTTTTGTAAACATGTTATTTTTAAATGATGTCTTTATATAACTTTGAACAATGTAATACTCAAAAATAACAGCAGGCTAGGAGTCGGAATTACTAGCCACTATCTGTTTTCCATATGGCAGAGAAGTTAACGACTTTCGTCAACTATTCTCAGAAAAATGTGGTTGCCAGGACAGTTCAGAGGTCGGCATTCTAGTTCAAAGTTATCTTCGCCTGTCTCTCACTCCTGCATTGGTTTTTTTGTTGCCATTGTCCTCGTTTGTTTTTGTTTTTAATGATGTGGAAATGGTTATTATATCAAGTGAATAAGCATTCACTATGTTTACTATATAAAGTTAGTACATGTTTACTATATAAAGTTACTAAATATGAAAAAATGGATACAAAAAACTGTACATACAGTATGGTCCTAATGATATAATTATGTAAATGCAGAGAAAGGAAACACCAGAAAGTTTACGAACAATGATCTATGAATGGTAGAGTTATGGGTCATATTTATTTCCTCCTTTATGCTTATCTGTATTTAAAAACTGCCCTATTTTATACTTTTAAAATTATTACTTATTCCAGAATCCACATTTCTTTAGAACCAGTTAAGGCTGAGAAGAAATGGCCACAAATTTTCCAGTAGTCTACTGACTCGTAAATCACGCACACATTCACTGAAAATCTCAGCTGAGCTGTCACCAGAGCCACTGGCCTCATCTATTTAAACTGAGATCATTAAAATGAAAACTTCAGTTCCTCAGCTACACTAGTCATATTTCAAGTGCTCGGTAGCCCCATGTGGCTAGTGGCTACCCTGTTGGACAGTATGTATAGAACATTCCCACCATGGCAGAAAGTTGTATTGGATAGTACATAGGTCTTAGGTGTTAAGAAGAACTTAAATTTCTTTAAATCATTTATCTACATTTTTATGTTTTAATTATACATTTTCAAGGGGAGTGGTTGTCTAAAAAATAATCATATATATGGATATATAAAAATGGACCATAGCAATTTATTTGTTGTTGTTAGTTACCCTGCTACTGAGGGCATTTGAGCACATATTTTAATTTTACTCTAGTTAAAATTTGCAGTATTTTCAGCTTCATACTTAACTATTTAGAGTGTGATATCTACCATGATGTTTTAATAGCCTAGGCGTCTGCTGTAATATTTTAGAAAATGTTGGAATTTAAGAAATAACTTGTGTGTTACTAATTTGTGTAACCCATCTCTGTGCGGTGGAAGATATCACAAAGTTGTTTAAAAAATAGGAAATACAGATGAAAACACTAAGCTCTGACCTTGACGCTATTAGAACAAGAACTAGCAGGATCAGAATACCAAATTTGAAAAGCAGCAAGAGACTGGACCCGAAACCTTAATTCTAGTTCCAGAATTAAGCATGTGCTTCTCCCAACTGAGCAAGGATCAGAAACAGTGAGTGGTCCCATCGCCTGGTATTTTGATTCCATAGGTCTGAGATTAGCTTGAAAATCTGCATTTTAACAAGTTCCCATGGGAGACCACGCTTTGACAGCCACTGCTTCCGTCAAATGACCTTGGTCCGGAGGTTTGATCGTTTCTAGCCTCAGTTTCTGTTTTCTCGCCTGTAAAACGAGATTGCATAGTCACCTGCGTTTCCTTCATCAGTCTATGGACGGGATGTTTAATATACAGTTGTGATATGTCGCCGCTTGGAATTCAGCTGGGACAGCAACAGTGAAAGTAAAAGAAACGGCTAGAGTGGTCATCTTGTGAGAGATTTCAGGATCCGACATACAGCCGGACAGTGGCGAATCGGGTCGCTTTGGGAACAATCCCAGAGTTTTGCAGGGAGCTTCCCAAAGAGCGCTCTGGAAGAGAACACGTAATCTGAGCAGCAAGGACGATTCTCTAATTTGATTGACGTGTGTCCTATGCTGTAGCGACACCTTTCTGGACCCTACACTGGCAGGGCACCAAGTCTTTTTCCAGGAGACGGCATAAACTCCTGGGGGCCACCGCGCCGAGCTCCTTGGAGAAGGAAGAGCCGAGGGCGCGGGCGGGGGACGGGCTCCTTGCAGGGGCCCCACTGGCTGTGCCGCCCCGAGGCCCTGCTCTGCCCGCCCGCCGGGGCGCCCCCAGGCCGCTCTGCGCTGCTGCTCACCGGGCGACCGCGGCGACATTTCCAGGCCTCCGGACAGCCGAGGAGGTCACGTGCAGCCCAGTGCAGCGGAGGGCCAGGCTGCTGAGCGCAGGGCCCTCCGTGCGGAGCAGGGAGAGGGAGGCCGAAGAGGGCCGGTGCTGGAGCGAGGCCACG